ATGTGTAGGAATGTGAACATGCCTAGAAAAGATCTGAGAAGAATTTATCCCTCAACTCAGGATGAGTTTGAGGCTCGGCACAAACAGAAAATAAAGGCTAAAACATACTTGTAAACTGCCTTCTGGAGCATCAGAGTCTCAAAGACCTGTAGGACGTACACATATTGGGAGTCCCAAAGGACAGAAGAGAGAATAAAAGAAAGAAAGAATATTTGAAGAAATACTGCTAGAATATCCCACAATATGGAAAACATTAATCTATACATTCAGGAATCTCAATGAACTCCAAGCAGGATATATTTTTAAAAATCCACATGTAGACACATCATAGTCAAACTGTGAAAGCCCACAACAAAGAGAGATTCTTGAAAACAGCAATAGAAAAACAACTCATCACATACAAAAGATTCTCAATAAATTCAACCAGCTGACTTCTCATCAAAATTCATGGAGGCCAGAAGGCAGTAGGACAATATTCAAAATGAAGGGGATGGGCAACTGTCAACCAAGAATTATGTATCCAGCAAAGCTATCCTTCAAAAATAAAGAGAAAATTAAGACATTGCCAGATAAACAAAAACTCAAGAGAATTCATCACTAGTAGGTCTGCCCTTCAAGAAATAGTAAAGGAAGTCCTTAGGCTGAAAGGAAAGGACACCAGACATTAACTCAAAACCACATGAAGAAATAAAGAGCAGTGCTAAAGGTAACCACATAGATAAATAAAAAAGACAATATTAATGTATTTTTATTTGAATCTTTTTTGTAATACCTGATTTCAAAGGTAACTACATACAGCAATAACTATTATTTGTGTTGATAAACATACAGTGTATAAAAATGAAATATGTATGACATTAATAACCCAAAGGACAAGGGAAAGAATGGAGCTATATAGGAGTAAAGTTTATTATTAGTATTATTATTGAAATTAAGTTGGTACTGACCTAAACTGTTGTCATTGTTATGTGCCATCAAGTCAATTTCAACTCATAGTGATCATGTGGGACAGAGTATAACTGTGCCATAAGGTTTCCTAGACTGTAAATCTGTTCAGGAGCAGAGTACCAGGTCTTTTACCCACAGAGCCACTAGAAGGTGTAAACCACTGATTTTTGGTTCACAGCCAAGTGTTTAACCATTGTTCCAGCAGGGCACCTTAATCTGAACTATAGTACAATAAATTAAGATGCTAATTATAATCTCCAGGGCCACCAGTACAAAAATAACTGAACAAAATATAGTAAAAGAAGCAACAGTAATTTAAATGATGTGCTAGAAAATATCTGTGTAATATAAACGAAAGCAGTAATGGAGGAATAGGACAGTAAAGATATGACATGTAGAAAAAATAGACATAAATCTTATATTATCAGTAATTACATTAAATGTGAATGGATTAAACTCTCTAACCAAAAGGCAGAGATTGAAAACCTGGATAAATAAGCCATGATCCAACAATATGTTGTCTACAAGAGACACACTTTGTGTTTAACAACACAGCTAGGTTGAAAGTAAAAGATGGAAAAAAAAGACAAACCATGCAAATAATAACCTAAAAAGAACCAGAGTGGCTATACTAATAATTAGATAAAATACATTTTAAGACAAAAATAGTTAGTAGAGAAAAATGTATATTCCATAATGATAAAATAATCATTTAACAATTATAAATCATATAACAATTATAAATATATGCATATATAAGTATTTATATATATCTACCAACAAAAACCCAATTCACCAAATGAAAACTTACATAATTAAAGGGAGAAATAGATAATTCAACAATACTTGAAAACTTCAGTACTCGACTTTCAAAAATAGAACAACTAGGCAGAAGATCAACAAGGACATAGAGGACTTGAACAATAGCAGAAAACACAAGTTTCTCATGTACGTGGAGCATTCTTCAGGATAGAGCATATGTTAGGTCATAAAATAAGCCGAAATACATTTGGAAGGATTGAAATCAAGCACTTATGCTCTCCAACCACAATGGAATGAAATCATCGTTGGGTGCCATTGAGTCACTTCTGACTCATAGTGAACATACATACAATTGCCCATCTTGTGCCTCACAGTCATTGCTATGTTTGAACCCATTGTTGCAGCTGTTGTGCCAGTCCATCTCATTGAGGGTCTTCCTCTTTTTCCCTGACCCTCCACTTTACCAAGCATGATGTCCTTCTCCAGAAACCTGTCCACCACTGGTGACCCTGTTCGTATTTGAAATACCAATGGTATAGTTTCCAACAGTACAGCAACACACAAGATGCCACAGTATGACAGATGAGTGGTGAAGAATGAAATAAGAAATCAATAAAAGAAGGAGATTCGGGGAATTCACAGATAAGTGGAAATCAGACAACACAATCCCATTGATCCAGGAGAAATCACAATGGAAACTGTAAAATACGTTGAGATGACATGATCTTGTATATACAATATCCAAAGGAATCCCTGGTGTCTGTATCTGATACAGAGGAGACATCACTGGAATAGAATTATCTTGAGATGAGGGATGAAAGACTGGGAGTAGATAATTACTAGCCCAATTTGTATATAATTACTCTGTTGTACCTGGTATCCTAAGACTAGGGATGATTATCTATGGACTCTCTATTATGTGCTTCGTTTTCTTTCTACCTCTAGCTGCACCTTCTCAGTCTGCTTTGCTACTTTCTTGTCATCCTCCTGCCTTTTAAACCTTGACATCTCCCAGAATTCAGTCTTTGAATATAACCCATTTTGTATCTGTGTCCTCTCCCTTGAAAATCTCATCTGATCTCATGACTTTCAGTACTATCTATATGCCACTGTAGGAGCTCTGGTGGTATAGTGCCTAAGGCATTTTACTGCTAACCAGAAGACTGGTGGTTCAAACCCACCAGCCACTCATCAGAAGGCGGATTGGGCAATCTGCTTATGTAGAGATATCGCCTTGGAAACCCGACTAGGGGTCACTGTGAGTTGCATTGGCTTGACGACAGTGAGTTTGGAGTTTGGTTTTATATGCTACTGGCTTTCAAATTTGTATCTCTAGCCCAAACATGTCCCCTGAAATCCTGACTCAAATACCCTACTGCCTACATGATCTCTCCATTTGAATATCTGATTAGGCATCTAAAACTCAACATATCTAAAACTAAACTCCTGATCTTACCTCTAAAACCAGCCCCCTCAATCTTTCCCCACTCTGTAAATAGCACCTTCATCATTTTTAAGGCAAACATTTTAAAATTAAACTTGACTCTTCCCTTTCTCTCAGACCCCTAATGGGTTTGTCAGTAAATCTGGTCTATTTGTCTAAAATCCGGCACTTTTCACCACCAAGCTATGATCATCTTGGGCACTTGGATTTTTGCATTAGCTTTACAATCGGTTTCCCTGCTTTTGCCTCCCCTCCCCACAAAGTTGATTTTCAGCATAGAAGTCCAAGCATTTCTTTGAAAATGTAAGTAAAATCATTATTGCTTGTCTGTTCAAACACTCCATTAGCTTCCAGTGGCTTCTCTTAGAGTAGAAGTATTCAAAATGGTCTACAAATCCTGACCTGATCTGATCCCCTGCTTGCTCTCAGACCTCATCTCCTATCTCTTCCCTCACTTTCACACTTAATTTTAGTTACACTGTCCTCCTTGTCTTTCCATAAACACACAGGGCCTTTGTACTTACTGTTTCCTCATTTCATCTACAAACCTGGTACTTTGCCCCCTTCAAGTTTTTCTTAACTGTCAACTTTTCAGTGACATCTTCCCTAACTTATTTAAACCTGTAACACCTTCTGACATTCACATCCCTCTTTTCCTGCTTCATTTTTCTTCATAGAACTTATTACCATCCAAAATCCTCTATATTTTACCTATGTATTTGTTTGTCTTTCCTCACTAGAAAGTAAACTCCATGAGGGGTGGGATTTTTGACTATGTTAGTTTCCATTGTCTCTCTAGACCGATAACCTTGCCTGGCACTTACTAGGCCTTCAATTACTAATCATTGAATGAATGAGTGCATGCGTACATGCATCCCAGGTATTTTGCTGTTCATTAAGTAACAGCATACAAGAATATCCCTAGTAAGAACTGAATGGGTCTGGCTGCAGCCAGGTCTGTAAGACTGGCCTTCTACACCAAGCTGCCCTCTCACTTGAACTTACTAGGCAAGAGTCTTTGCTCCTTGTGCCTGTCTAAGGGAGCTTAATGACTCCAGAACCTCTCAGTGGAAAAGGGAATGCCAGGGATCATAGGTATACCTATTCTAATGAGGGGACAGTTCAGAAAGAGGCCCTGTGAGTCAGTACCTTGTCCCATTTCCAAATGCTTCCATTATAGGCCACTGGAAGCCATATATTTGTTGTGCAATTAGCAGTTAACAATGTGGAAAAACATTGGTCAAGGATATAAGTTTTTTTTCTACCTTACCTTTAAAATGTACGATATAATAGTTTCTAAACAAACACACACAAAAAAAAACCTCACTGCCGTGGAGTCGATCCTGACTCATAGCGACCCCTCCTTGGGTTTCTGAGGCAGTATCTCTACAGAAGTAGATTGCCCAATCTTTCTTTTGAGGAATGGCTGGTGAGTTTGAACCACTAGCCTTTTGGTTAGCAGCTAAATGTGTTAGGCACTATGCTACCAAAGCTCCCTAATAGTGTCTAGTTTCCATTATTTAAAGATAATTCCATTAGTGAGGAAAAATCCAGTTATTTAACCTGTGTGTGTGTGTGTGTGTGTGTGTAATGCTTGGACTAATTGTACTATAAATTACTTATTTAAAAAAACTATAGCAATACCACATATTTCTAAAAGAAAAAAATGTCAGCTAGTCTGATACATATAAATGCATGCATTTTAATATTCCACAACTTCATCGTGTGTTGACAGTGTGAACAAATTAGTGTCATAATTGAAAATTATTTATTAAAAACTCAGTAAATTCAGTAATCTAGTGAAACAGTCTGGTGTTTCATTATTGCTATTTAATTTTTCTTACAGGACAAAGTTCTAAAAACATCACTTCATCTCCAAGCATTGAGAGTTTGCCTGGAGGAAAAGAATTCACTGGCTCCCCACCTTTGTCTGCTACTAAAAAAGATTCCTTTTTTAGCAACATCTCCCGTTCCCGCTCACACAGCAAAACCATGGGCAGAAAAGAATCTGTAAGTATTTAAGTTCAATTTTCTTTTTATCCTTTGTTTTCCTCTAGAACGCTACATTTATTAAAGCTGCTTTGTTGTGTTGTTATGTGCCGTCAAGTCAGACCCGACTCATAGCGACCCCTCCTTGGGTTTCCTAGGCAGTATCGCTATGGAAGTAGATTGCCCAACCTTCCTTCCGAGGAGTAGTTGGTGGGTTTGAACCTCCAGCCTTCTGGTTAGCAGTCAAGTGCCTTAGGCACTATGCTACCAGAGCTCCTAAAGCTGCTTTAGTGTTCAGTTGTATAAAACTTTTAAGACTTTTATGAACTAAAGTGAATTATTTCATCAAAAGTATCTTAATTTTATTATTATAATTTAGTATTATTCCAAGGCTATGGTTTATATTATGCTGTGGGGGAAAAAAAAAAAGTTCCATAAATTTAAAATAAGTTGAATCTTGCTCAATCCCCAGTCATTGTTTCCTTTATAAGTGCTTTTCCATCAAACCTTGTGGGAATTTTGCCCCTAAAATTGAACAAATAGTGTTATACCAAATACGAGATGTTGACACTTGAAACAAACCAAGTTTTTTTTGTTTTGTTTTGTTTTAAATATTTATGGAATATTTTAAATAATTATTTTACTATTCTTAAAAGTTATACAAATTACATATAAATTATGGTGTTTTGATAGTTGCTTTCTAAGATCTTCTCTATACATTTCTCAAAAGGACATATATCTAAAGTATATCAACCACCTTAAAAATCTGGTTATATCTGAAATGTTTATAAGCCAACTTCACAAGAAATAAAACACTTAACCACATTTTATCGCTAATTGAACACCTAATTTTCTAAAATGAAGAGCTCATCTTCCCATTTGATGAGAATGCAAGTATAAAGCTAACACAGAAATCAAACTATTGTTGAAATTGTCCTAAGTGTAAAACAAAAACAAAATAGTAACTGTAAAACCTTTGAGAGCTAATTATTTAGGTTGCCTAAAATATACAATAACATGGTATTAGCGTGTGATTTTGTATGACCTTGGGAAAGCCACTCAGCTTTCAGGTGCCCCAACCACCTCATCTGCAAATTAAGCATCACACTTTGCTCTCCAAAGGCAGAAAAGTTGACTGTATTTGGGGTCACTTTCAATGCATAGAAACTATTATCCGATAGTCTGTTAAAGGATAGCATGAGACTTTCCAATTAAAGATGATACCTTGAGTGCAAGCATTTACCTGCGCTCTGTTTCCTTCCTAAACCTGCGCTCTGTTTCCTTCCTAAACCTCCACTCCAAGAACAGTTGTTTTGTTGCTAGGTGTCGTCAGGTAGACTCTAACTCATAGTGACCCATATTACAGAGTAGAATTGTCCTATTGGGTTTCCTAGGCTATAGTCTTTACAGGAGCAGATCACCAAGTTTTTATCCTCAGATGGCTGATTGTTTCAAACTGCCAAACTTTTGGTTAGTAGCTTACCTCTTAACCATTACACCATCAAGGCTCCTCCCAAGAACAGTAAGGGTAGTTAAAGGTAAGCCCTCAAAGAATAAGAAAACTGGGAAGAAGACAATAGCAATACATTTTGTTACTTAGAAAGCAGATGGCAAGTGGTAACTTAGCAACCTAAGAAAGCTGAATCCTAAGTCAGAAGTAAAAGGTAAAAGTCACTATGAGTCAGCTCTGACTCGATGGCAGTGAGTTTGTTTTTTGTTTGTTTGTTTGTTTCCCCACTCTGGTAGGAACACTGGAAGTTAGCGACCCCTCCTTGGGTTTCCAAGGTGATATCACTACGGAAGTAGATTGCCCAACCTTCCTTCCGAGGAGCAGCTGGTAGGTTTGAACCGCTAGCTTTCTGGTTAGCAGCCAAATGCCTTAGACGTTATGCTACCAGAGCTCCTCTTACTTCTCTAGAAAGTATAAAACAATGCTGCAGACTGAGAAAGATCAGGCACAGTTGAGTATGGGACTACCCTGCTCAGAAAAAAATGAAGAATAAATTTAAGTACTACCTACCTCCACTTGCTTCTCATAGCACCAACCAAGAGATTGGGAGAGTTTTCTGTAGGTAAAAGACAAAATTTTAATAAAACACAAAGATGCTGAGATTGGCAGTTCTCTGAGGAAATAGCCAGCTCACTTTACAAGTGGTCCTAGCCATCAACAACCCCCATCCAACTGCACAACATTCTCTTACTTTTTAGTTTCAAACTGTATGAGCAAGACAGCCAAGGATCACTAGACACAGAAGGGAAACATCTGATATGAAAACAAATAGAGAAAAAGCAACTGGGAAACAGCAAGGCTATGCAGGAAAATAAAAGCTATCACTGATAGTTTCATGGATATGAGTAACTTTTGCATCTGTAATAACAAACAGGAATATATGTATATAACTTTGAGAATAAAAAAATAAGAGCTATTAGAAATTAAAGTGTGATTTCAGAAATGTAAAACTCAATGGAAGAGTTGTTAGTGAACTTGCAGAAATATCGTAGACAATAGAATATAAACAAAAATGGAAAGAGAAAAAATAAGAAAAGTAGAAAAGTGGTCCAGGAGGTTAAAAATCTAAAAATTAAGAGCTGCAGAGAGAGTGCATAGATAAAATGAATGGAAGGAAATTACCACAAATACAATTCAATGAATTTTTCTGTTAATGAAAAGTTCTGAGTCTTCAGATTGAAAAAGTCCATGGAATGCCCCAAACAAGTGAAATCAAACCCATCTAGAAAGTGTAAAACAGAACGTTTCCAGACTGAAAAAGATCAGGCACTGACTGAGATTACTGCTTTTTCACATCATTAAAAAAAAAAATTAGAACTCTAGAGACGAAGCAATGTCCTATAAACTTGCAGAGTTGAGGGAGAAAAAGATCTTCAAGAAAAGATCAAGGATTAGAACAACTATAGACTTCTCAACAGTTACATTGGAAAGAAGAAGTGAATGGAGCAATACTTTCAAAGTTCTAAGGAAAATTACTTCCAGTCTAAATTTACCATCCAACCAAACTACTAATTAAGAGTGGGGTAAAATAAAGCCACTTTCAGACATTAGAGATTAAAAAAAAAATATTCCCATGTTCCCTTTCTGAGAATCCACTGGAGAGAGTGCTCTATAAATAATGAGAGAGTTAACTAAGGAGGAAGAAGACATGAGAACCAGGAAATAGAGGATCAAGAGTGAGACAAAGATTCCCCAGGATAATAATGAAGAGAATTCCCATGACTATACAATATTTCACAGGCCTAAGGAACAACAACCAGCCCAGATTAGAGCAAGTTGGAGGAAATCAGATTTCTCCAAAAAGATAAAATTGGAAAAATGTCTAATATATTTGAACAAATTGAACATATTTATAAAACTGGAATTAGTTTGGGTTTGAATTAGTGATAAGTTTACTTAAAAAAAAAAACTAAGGCAATAAAAAACAAGGTAACTGATAACTCAAAGAATGTGCAGGAAACAAAAAGTTACAATAAAATTCATGACTAAGCATTGGATAGAATTTTCATAGGCACCATTGTGTAAGCCTATTGACCATTAATGAAAAATATGATACAGTTTTTTTTTTTTTTTTTTGAGAATTTGAGGTATAGGAACTGTGTGTTTTCATTGGGAGGGGAAGGGGCAGGTGGTGGTGCTCAACAGAGCTAAATCTTCATGTTCCATATTGGGAAATGAATGGATAGTACTCTGGAGAAAGCAAGGAGTAGCAATATAAAATAGAGATACAGAGGTACAAAACAAACCGAAAAAGGTTGAAAAATTGGAAGTGGTTGCTTCTAGGGAGCAGGCAGTAAAGGGCAGTGCTGTGAGAACTGTTTATTATATCAAACCTTATACAACCAACCACTTGATCTTAAAAATATTGGATATATTGTTTACATTTAAAATAACTAAAAATTCAACAAAAATAGAATGCACTGGCATAATAAATCAGAAAGGGGGATGTCTGCCTAGACAAAGCACATGTCTTTGAAGGTAAGAATCAGAATAAGGGAATAACAAGTGGAAAGGCATATGGAGAATGTTTCATTTGCATTATATCACATTTTGGTGTTATATGCATTAGTCTATACCAATTAATTACTTTCCTACAGTGATACTGTAATTTTAAACCAAGAAGTTGAACAAAAATAGAAGTAGAGTAAATCTAACTCTCTATATAGATCTTCTGTGAACCAAGACACAGAATGCTGAGTTATAATACTAAATGTATCACATTCCCTAACTTGTGGAAAGGAAGTAAGCAGAATTTTTCAAGAGAAACCTTCATGGTTTTCCAAGTCACAGGTTTATTTTAATAGTGTGTTACAGTCAATATTCTTTGCCAAATAGTTCTAATTCTCCTCTGTTCTAGGCACTTAGTAGGACTAAACCCCCTGGTCTCCTGTGATCTCTCAGGGTCTTGAGGCTAGTTCTGTCCAGTAAATTGTGATTGGAAGGGCTATGTGTATTGCTACTGCAAGACCTTCCACAGCCCTCACTTTCCCTCTGGCAAAGTGAGGGAGCAGAGCCCACCTGCCAACTTAAAGATAACCAAAAACCAAACTCACTGCCATCGAGTCAGTTACAACTCATAGCAATCCCCATGGGATTTCCAAGGCTATTTATCTTTACAGAAATAGATTGGACATCTTTCTTCCACAGAGCAGCTGGTGGATTCAAACTACCAACCTTTTGTTTAGCAGCTGAGCACCAGTAGGACTCCTGTTAAAGCAGGTGTTGTTGTTAGGTGCTGCTCAGTCATCTTCAACTCGTAGTGAGCCCGAGTACAACAGAATGAAACACTGCCTGGTCCTATACCATCCTCACAATCCTTGCTAAAACTGAGCCCATCACTGCAGCCACTGTGTCAATCCATCTTGTTGAGGGTCTTCCCCTACACTTTACCAAGCATAATATCCTTCTCCATGGACGGGTCCCTTCTGACAACATGACCAAAGTAGGCGAGACGAAGTCTGGCCATTTTTGCTTCCAAGAAGCATTCCAGCTGCACTTCTTCCAGGACAGA